CCCCCCCCGAACTACAGTAAAACTTCAAAAATCTCATGAAAAAGCTTATTAGCAATGGAGATCCAAGCCCCTGCCCCCCTTGGAATCTTGAATCTGGAATATTTGGGATGATGCCAGGGAATGTGAATTTGGCAAGTTCCCCTGGTAAATTCGGATACAGGTGGTTCTTAGACCAAACAATGAGAATCACTGGTCTAGAAGGGAAAGAGAGAAATAAACTGTAGCAGTTGTCTAGGGGATGGTTGGTCTGCTAGAGTATATCTACATGGTAAATTTTGCAGGGCTCGACACTTGCTGTTTGCAGGCCCAGCTCTAGCCTTTGAGTCACGATGTGTTATGCCCACCTGGAAATAACATATAACTACACCCTGATTTTTTAAGTTTTATTAGCATATACTTCAATCACATCAAGAAGAGTTGTACAATCATCATCACAATCGGTTTTAGGACATTTTCTTTATTCTTGTATTCAGATTTAATAGCTCCCCGTTCCCCCAGCCCCACCCCTACCTCCCCTGCCATACCCTCAAGGAACTACTAATGTGGTTACTGTCTCTAAATTTACCTATCCTGGAGTTCATACCCAGAAAATATTAAGAAACCAACTAACAACAATAATAACTGCATTTCTCATTACAAATCAATACATTGACACTTAGTTTAGATTTCCATTTCTATGACTTGGTTACTATTAGTTCCTCCTGAAGAGCAAGTTTTTTATTGTGGTGCAGACAAAATGGTTTTCTGAGCCTGGATAGGATGGCAGACTCCATTAAAATTAAGCTTTAGGACAAAGCTGATCAATCTCTCACACTAACATGGCCAGAAGAATGTTTAGAATAGTAACTTCCTGTGTAAACCATCTGCTCTAATCACAGTAGTGTCTACCCTACTCAGTGCTCCATCCCTGCCCAGCCTTTATCCCAAATGCACAGGGCCACCCACAGAGAATCTCCTCCCCTGGGGAGACCCTCCTATTGATTGAACCCCTGTTCCCTTTCACCCCTCATCTTTTAAACCTTTCTTTTCCTTTCTTTCTTTTAAAATCATTTTATTGGGGGCTCTTACATCTCTTGTAACATTGCACCCTTCATTTTTAGTGCCAATCTGATCTCATCTCTTTCACTCTCCAGCTTTCAGTCTGTACTGTCAATCGTTCCATTCCGTCTGTTTTGCTTCCCTCATGCCCCCCTGGTATGGACTTATGGGACGTTTCCAGTTCCTGTTAGTCAAGGAAATCTTGCTATGACAAAGACCCCTTTCTCTTATCTTGCTTTGAGCCTGACTACAGAGGAGGGTTGGTTAAGTGTCAATTCCCAGGAAGGGAATAAGGGATGGAGAAATCCATCCTATGGTACAGGGTTAAGGCCAGACCCTTTGCTGTGATCAAACACTACACTGAATACCACCCTGTTTGTGCCTTGGCAGCCAGCTGGCTTTCCTGAATGATGCCCGTGTGAATTGCCTGAACCACATACTTTAGCATTCACATTGCATCACCATTCAAGGGAAAGAACAGAAGGAAAGCTCAATTAGAGTTGAACAATCTGCCTTCCCAGGAAGTCCTGGGCTCTAACACTGGCTATGACTGACAGGTTGTCCTTTGTACCCTAAACAGCTTCTTTCTTTAATGGCCTATTATTTAGCCTCTCTAATGCCAATTTCGGTTGCTGCCACCACCTCTCTAACCTTCATTATCTCACAGCCCTACTACTGAGAGAACCCATCTGATTTTTGTTGAGTCTTCCCTTGCCACTGCTGAGAGTCTTCATGATATCCTTTGATCATCTTACTGGCTGCCTCCGAACCTACTAGGGTGGTCAGAGTCCTCCACCTCCTTCACTGACCTCATCGTCCTCTGCTTTCCAACACAATGTCTTCTCTACATCACCCATCTTGGTACAGAGTCCCAAAACACCAAACGCATTCCTGCCTAAAGTGCCTTTTCTGCTCTCTCCCTGAGCTACATTTTTTTAATGCCTATATTCACTGGATGGTGGGAAATGGTTAAAATTCTCAGCTGTTAACTAAAGGTTAGAAGTTCAAGTCCACTCTGAGGCATCTGAATATATATATATATATATTGAAAACCCTATGGAGCACAGTTCTATTCTGACACTCTACATGCATGAGGTCAACATTAACTGTAGTTGACTTGGTGGCAACTTGTTGGTTTGGTTCAGCCTAATCCAATAGCAAAGGTGTATTGACAGAACGTAGCGCACAAGTTGGACGAGAAAGGTAGACTTACTATAGAACAAGATCTTTGTTGACTTCTGAAGAGTAGTCAAAGTCCTAGAGATTCCTGGAGGGCAAATCAGATATTGGTTGGGGTTAAGGAGAGTATGTAAATGGCAGTAAATTCAGCTCAACTTCCAGAGAAAAAAGAGAGTAGCTGCAGATTTTAAAAATGGACCGAGAAAAAATGCATATGGTTGGATCAAGTTTGTTTGTTGTGATGGACCATGGAGTTGTCTCCAACTCACAGCAACACTCTGAGGACGGCCTGGTCCTTTGCCATCCTGCTAATGGTTATGCATGTGCCCATTGTTGCAGCCCTGGTAGAAGTCTGTCTCCTGGAGGGTCTTTGTCTTTATCACTGACCCTCTGTCTGGTCAAGCATGATGTCTTTTTCCAAGGACTGAGCTCTCCTGATACTATGTCCAATGTATGTTAGATGAAGTCTTGCCATCCTGGCTTCTAAGGAGCATTCTGGCTCTACTTCTTTCAACACAAAGGTGTTTGTTCTTTGGGCAGTCCACGGATTTCACTATTCTTCATCCACACTGTAATTCACATGCATCAATTCTTTGGCTGTCTTCGTATTCATTGTCCAGCTTTTACATGCATATAAGGCAATTGAAAATACCATGGTCAGGTGCACCCTCTCTTCAAAAGTGACATCCTGGAGGTAGTTATAGGTTAAAGGAAAGTCGGTGATGTGGTCATGTCCCAGAGCTGACACTGAAAGCCTTAGGCACTGAAAGCCTAAGAGGTGGATTTGCATAGAACAATGGTTCCAAATGGAAGGACTGGAAATGTCTGGAGACATTTTTTGGTTATTACAATTCAGGATCACTGGTATCTAGTGAATAGGGACCACGAATGTTGTTAAATATCTTACAATGCACAGGAAAGCTTCCTCTCAAACAGCCAAGAATTATTCTGCCTGAAATGTTAACAGTGCCAAAGTTGATAAATGGTCCAGAAGGAGGCAAAATGGAATGTTAGCACAAAAGAGACAGCCATTAAAACTAGTTCAAGTATAATCTGGAGGAGAGAACAATGGGACCAACAGTTCTGGAGGGGGACATGGGATAGGGGATGGTGGGGGAAAGGAAAAGGGGTGCCAACAACCCCAGGGACAAGGGAAGAATAAGTGATCTAAAATTGATGGCGAGGAAGGCATAGGATGCTTGGCAGGGCTCGATTGGGGGCAATGTAGCTGATGAATTGGGGGCAAGTCATCAAAACCTGAATGAAGGCAGAACATGATAGTGGGGCAGGAGGAAAGTAAAGGAAATAGGGGAAAGAACTGGGAAGCAAAGGACATTTATGGAGGTCTAAATGCAGGCATGTATACGTGTAAATACATTTATATACAATGACAGGGTAATAGATCGATGTACATATATTTATCTGTTAAGTGTTATGGCAGCAGATGGGCATGATGTTGATGTTGATGCTATTCTATTTTGCTCTCCTAAGAAAATTCTTTGAAATTTTGATGAGTGACAGGGTAAATGGGAATTATGAGAGCAAAGTCCAACAGCCAAGCTTCCTCAATGCAAGAACACTTCATTCTACTAACACGGCACTCTATGACGCTCACATTCCCTGACTGGATTGCTGAAGACAAAATGGGTACATAAGCAAATGTGGTGAAGAAAGCA